CCCCCCAGGTATCCCCTAACCCCTTTGGGACCCCCCCAGGGAACCCTCCAACCTTCCCCTCTGGGACACTTCCCTAGAGACCCCTCCAGGACTCACAAACACACTGCAGTGACCCACAAACCCCTCCGGGACCCTTCCCCACGGACCCCCAAACCCACCCCAGAGACCCCCAAACCGACCCACTTGAGAACCCCAAACAGACCCCAGGCATACCCAAACCAACACCCCTGGGATCATCCCAGGACCCCCAAACCCACACCTGGGGCCTCCAAACTGTCCCCCAACCGCCCGAAACTGATCCTCCCAGGATCCCCAAACTGATCCCCCAGGGACCCCACCCAGCTGCCCCCTAAAATGCCCCCAAACCATCCCCCTGCTCCCCCAAATTCCCTCCCCAGGGCCCCCCAGCTGCCCCGACTCGCACCTGCGGGGAGAACACGCGCAGCAGTCGGTTCACGGGGGCTCCCTCGTGGTCCCCATCGAACTCGAGCCACAGCTGGGGGGGCTCCGTGGGGTCCCCGTCCTGCCCCGCGGGGTCCCCGTCCTGCCCCACGGCCCCCACCAGCTCCCAGCACAGCTCGGGGTACGTCAGGGACAGCAGCACGTGCTGGGGGGCACGGTGGGGGTCACACACAGAGCCCCCCCTGACCCCCATCCTGCCCCCCCAGACCCCCCCCCAATACCTTCTGGCGGGGGTCGATGATGGTGACCCCCTCGAGCCCCACGGCCACGCTGACGGGGCGCAGCCCCCCCCGGGCCAGCAGCCCCCCCGACGGCCGCTCAATGGCTCCCGGGAAGAAGGCACACCTGGAGGGGGGGGGGGACACACCTGGGTCACCCCCAAACCCCAAATTCTGGTTCCCTCCAAATTCATGGGGCCCCAGGTGTATCTGGGGTCACCCGGGGGGTGAAGATGCTGGGGGGTTCCCTTGGGACCCAGATACAGAGGAACTTGGGGGTCTAGAAAGAGTTCTGGAGGGGGGGGGTCACTGTGGGTCTGGGGGAGTCTGTGGGGCTCAGATATTGGGGGGTCCCTGGGGGTCTGTGGAGCTCATTCACTGGATGTCTGCAGGCAGGGTGGGAGCACGGGTGGTTCCCTGCTGATCTGGGGGTGTCCCCGTCAATCTGGGGGTGTCGCTGAGGTCGGCAGGGGTCTCTGGGTGGGTTCTTTGTGAGGTTCCCTGAGGGTCTGGGGGCGTCAGTGGGGGATTTCCCATGGGGGGTTCGTGTCCCATTTGGGGTGTCCTATTTGGGATGTCCCATTGAGGTGTCCATTTTGGGGTGTCCCAGGGTCCCGTGGGGTGGGGCGGTCCCAGAGGGGTTCCCGTGGGTGGGGGGGGGTCCCCCAGGTACGGCTCCCAGGTAGAGGGGATCCCATGGGTGGTCGCGTGGGAGGGTCCCAGGTGTGGGGGCCGCGGGGCTGGTCCTGAGTGGGGTCCCAAAGGGAGTCCCAGGCGTTCCCGTGGGTGGGGGTCTCATGGGCAGGGGTCCCGCGGGCAGGGTCCGCTGCCCCTTTTGGGGTGTCCCAGGGGGGTGTCCCATTGAGGTGTCCCTTTCGGGGTGTCCCCTGGGGGGGGTCTCTAAGCGGGGTCCCCCCTCACCCGTAGCCGGGCAGGGCGTGGCAGCGGCGCAGGAAGTCCCGGTACAATCCGGCAGGGGGAGCCTCGGGGCCCGGCGCACGCGCGAACGCCTCGAGCAGCCGCTGGGCGGGGCCCGGCTCGCGCGAGCGCCGGAACAGCGACCCCCAGCGGGCTGGAGGACCCGGCGGCAGCAGCTCCCCCAGCAGCGGCCTGGGGGGGACACCGGGGGGTCAGGAGGGGTCACAGGGGGACCGGGAGGGGCACGGGCGGAGCATGCGTTCCCGTGGGTGGGGGTCTCATGGGCAGGGGTCCCGCGGGCAGGGTCCGGCCGGTGCTGACCGCAGGCTGAGCTCTGTGTGCCGGCCGGGCTCGAAGGGCCCCAGGCGCAGGCGGCAGCTGAGCCCCCCCAGCTCGGCCGCCTCGGGGGGGTCCACGGGGTAGCGCCCCCCCCTCAGCTGCTCCCGCGCCTCCTCATAGAGCAACCGGAGCAGCTCCTCCTCCTGCAGCTGGGAGCCACAGACACCCCCATGTCACCCAGAGAGACCTCCAGACCACCGCAGACCCCACCCTGCACCCCCCGTGTCCCCCTCCCATAGATCCCCCCACAGCGGGGACCCCCCTGTGCCCCCCTCACCTCCAGCTCGCGGCTCTTAGGGAAGAACACGTTCCTGCGCAGCTGCAGACATGGCTCATCTGGGGGGGCAGGGGGGTCAGTGGGACCCTCGAGGGGACCCTCCCGCCCCCAAAGGGTCCCCCCCCGATCCCCCAGCCCTCACCTTGGGCGATGGCCGCGGGCGAGCCGAGGCTGAAGCGCAGCAGCAGCTCCGGCCAGTGCCGGACCAGGCGCAGGGGTCGGTGCCGCGGCTTCAGCTGCACCTCTGGGGGGGGGACACAGGGCTGGCACCCCTTGGGGACCCGCGGAGACCCCCACGGGCACAGAGACCCCCTCCCCCGGCCCCATCCTCCAGGGGGATCCTCCTGCCTCCCTGTCCCTCCAATGTCCCCTCCTCAGCGCGCAGCTCCGCTCACAACCGAGCTGTGACTCCATGATCCCCCCTGTCCCCATGGTCCCACTTCCCCTCTGTGTCCCCGTGTCCTCCCATGTCCCACCTATGTCCCTCTGGCCCACCAATGTCCCCATGTGCCCACGGTCCCACCTCCCCTCTGTGTCCCCCTGTCCCCCCTCACCGAGCAGCTCTGACCCCAACCACAGCGCGAGCTGTGACCCCGCCATGTCCATGTCCCCCTGTCCCCCACAATGTCCCCCTGTCCCCAACATGTCCCCCCATGTTCCCCCCATCACCGAGCAGCTCTGACCCCAAGCTGTGACCCTGCCATGCCCATGTCCCCACAATGTCCCCCCTGTCCCCCACATGTCCCCATGTGTCCCCCTGTCCCCCTCACCGAGCAGCTCCGACCCCAGCCACAGCGCCAGGGCGTCTCCGGCGGCGGGCGGGAGGCGCAGCGCCCCCTGCAGGCGGCGCAGCAGCTCCGCGGCCGTGGGGCCCGGGGGCGGCTCCAGCGGCAGCGGCAGCGCCGACCCGTCCGGCAGGTACATCAGGGCTGGGGGCACCGGGGGTGAGACCCCCCGGGACCCCCGAACATCTCCCGGGACCCCCGAACATCCCCCGGGACCCCCGCACCGCCCCACAACCACTGACACAGCCCCGACCCGTCCGGCAGGTACAGCAGGGCTGGGGGCACCGGGGGTGAGACCCCCCGGGACCCCTGAAATCCCCCGCGACGCCCGAACATCCCCGGGACCCCCATACCTCCCCCGGGACCCCCGCACGGCCCCACAATCACCCCCGGGCTACCCACCCCCACAGCTACCCCAACACACACAGCAAAGCTGAGGGTACCGGGGGGCATGAGACCCCCACCCAGGGAACCCCAAACCCACTCGGGACCCCCAAAACTCCGCCGGGAGTCCCACCCCCCGACTGACACACCCTCGGGACACACCCAGAGGACGCACGGGGGTCCCACGGCCACGCCCTCCCCCAGACCATCCCCCCCAAAGTGTCCCACGCCCCCCCCGGTCCCCCCGGGGGTGGCGGCGGGGCGGAGTGGGGGGGGGTCAAGGGACACGCGTGGAGACCCCCCCCTCACACGTAATACTCCTTGTCCTTGTTGCGCCGCGCTTTGCCCGGCGCTTTGGGGGGCGCGGCCGCCGCTTTCTCCTTGGGGGTCCCGGCGGGCGGGGTCGGGGATGCGGCACCGGGAGCCCCTCCCGGGCCTCCCCCGGGCGCGGCGGGGGCGGCCCCGATGTAGTGGCGGCTCTGGTCCACCTGGTAGGAGCCCTCGTCGCGGTTGCGGTACTTGTACATGGCGTAGAGGAGGATGAGGATGCAGAGCGCGGCGGCCGCCACGATGCCCACCACCATGCCGGTGGTGCCGCCCGCCTCCCGCACCACCTCCACCGCTCCGGGCGCGGCTGTGGGGGGCACGGGGGGGCGTCGGGTCACGGGAGGCGCCGAGCCCCCCCCGCGCCGCCCCCCGCCCGTTTCTTTTTTTTTTTTTTTTTTCTCGGTTTTTTGTTTTTAAGAGCAAACCGCGGCGCTGCCGTCAACTTACATCGCGGGATGGGGCCGGGTGATTTTAGCGTGGAGGAAAAAGAAATTGCAGGAAGGAAGGGAAAGCACACAAAAAACGAGAGAAAGAGAAAAAAGAGAAAAAAAGAACAAAAAGAAAAGAAGAGAAGAGACACTCGGTGAGAAGGTGCCGCGGCCACCCCTGCGGCGCCGGCGCCCGGCCCCGGCCGGCCCCGGCCACCGCCGGCCACCACCGGCCACCGGCCCCCGGCCATCAGCCACCGGCCACTGGCCATCGGCCTTGAATCCATCCTTGATTGCATCCATCCGTCTGTCAATCTGTCCATCCATCCATTAATCCATGAATCATCTGTCCATCCCTACATCCATCCCTGAATCCATCCTTGAATCCATCCCTGATTCCATCCATCCGTCCATCCATCCATCCATCCATCCATCCATCATCCATCCATCATCCATCCATCATCCATCCATCATCCATCCATCATCCATCCATCATCCATCCATCATCCATCCATCATCCATCCATCATCCATCCATCATCCATCCATCATCCATCCATCATCCATCCATCATCCATCCATCATCCATCCATCATCCATCCATCATCCATCCATCATCCATCCATCATCCATCCATCATCCATCCATCATCCATCCATCATCCATCCATCATCCATCCATCATCCATCCATCATCCATCCATCATCCATCCATCATCCATCCATCATCCATCCATCATCCATCCATCATCCATCCATCATCCATCCATCATCCATCCATCATCCATCCATCATCCATCCATCATCCATCCATCATCCATCCATCATCCATCCATCATCCATCCATCATCCATCCATCATCCATCCATCATCCATCCATCATCCATCCATCATCCATCCATCATCCATCCATCATCCATCCATCATCCATCCATCATCCATCCATCATCCATCCATCATCCATCCATCATCCATCCATCATCCATCCATCATCCATCCATCATCCATCCATCATCCATCCATCATCCATCCATCATCCATCCATCATCCATCCATCATCCATCCATCATCCATCCATCATCCATCCATCATCCATCCATCATCCATCCATCATCCATCCATCATCCATCCATCATCCATCCATCATCCATCCATCATCCATCCATCATCCATCCATCATCCATCCATCATCCATCCATCATCCATCCATCATCCATCCATCATCCATCCATCATCCATCCATCATCCATCCATCATCCATCCATCTGTCCATCCATCATCCATCCATCCATCCATCATCCATCCACCATCCGTCATCCATCTATCCGTCCATCCATCTGTCCATCCATCTGTCCATCTGTCCATATACAGACCACTGTCCATCATCCATCCAGGGTCAATTGTCCATCCATTGTCCATCCATTGTCCATCCAGCGTCCGTCCATTGTCCGTCTGTCCCCCGCTCCTCCCCCTTTCCCCTGACCACTGCCACTCCTCCCCCACAAGTGGGGTTTTGGGGGACCAGAGTGTCCTGGGGACACCTGTGGGAGACACCTGGCTGTCCAGGTGACACCTGTGAATGCCAGGTGAGGCCCCAGGTGTCTGGGGGGGGATCTCCAGTGTCCAGGTGACACCCAGAGGTGTCCAGGGGGTGTCACCATGTGACACCGGGGGTGGAGGAGGGTCCTCGCCGAGGTCCTGGTGGCAGCGCAGGTGTGACAGCGCAGGTGTGACGGTGTCACATGGGGTGACCCCAGACCGAGGGGTCCTCCCTGTCCGTCCGAATGTCCGAGTGTCCAAATGTCCAAGTGTCTGTCCGTCAGGGGAAGCAGGGGGTGGGGGCGGGGCTTGCACAGCCCCCAGGCTCAGGTGTGTGCTCGGAATGGGTGGGAACACCTGTGCAGGGTGAGGGGCGGGGCACAGGTGGGAGGGCGTGTGCAAGGGGGGGCAGCTGGGTGTGCAAAGGGGGGGCATCTTGGTGTGCGGGGGGGCTTCAGGTGTGAGTTCAGGTGTGTGTGAGCTCAGGTGTGTGTGCACACCTTTGCCTGTGTGTGCGAGAAGCTCCTGTCCAGGTGTGTGTGCACAGTTCAGATGTGTACACCTGTGCAGGTGTGTGTGAAGAGTTCAGGTGTGTGTGCACCTGTACAGGTGTATGTGAAGAGTTCAGGTGTGTGTGCACCTGTACAGGTGTGTGTGTGTGTCTGTCTGCACACACTTTTCCAGGTGTGTGTGTGTGTGTGCACCTGTCCAGGTGTGTCAGCAGCTCCCGTAGCCGCGTGTCCCCCTACCGTGAGCAGCCTGGCATGTTCCCTGCTCACACGCGTGTGCAAACCCCTGCTCCCCCACACCAGTGTGTGTGCACACCCCCACACCTGTGCGGGGGTCTCCCCCCTGTGGGGGGGTGGGGAAGAGCCCCGGGCTCTGCGGCCGTGCCACACGCGTGTGTGAGGCCGTGCCACACGCGCGTGCCCGGGGCCCCGGAGCAGCACCCACCTGTGCCCGGCTCACACTCCTCCAGGTCCTCGTCATCGCTCGGACACTCGGCCGAGGCCACCAGCAGATCGTCCGTGTTCTGGGGGGACACCGGGGGGAGGGGTCAGCGGGGGTCTGGGGACCCCCAAACCCCCTGAGCCCCCCCCAGAGCCCCCCAAGGCTCAGGGGTCACCTGAGCGCACCCAGGTGTTCGGGATGGCCCCTCCTGCCCCTCTCTGGGGTCCCCCCCTACCCTCCCCCCCCCCCNGGTGGCGCCGGGGGGCGCGGGGGGTGGCGGGGGGTCCCCCACGAGCCGCAGGTCCCCCTCGAGCCGCACGCGGGGGTGTCCCTCGGCCGCCAGCGCCAGCAGCTTCAGCCCGTTGTAGTAGAGCCCCGAGAGCTGCCCCTGGAAGGGGCGGCCGCGGTCCCGGCCCCCCACCCGCACGCGCGCCTGGCTGTTGAAGATGGTCAGCTGCCGGCCTGGGGGGGAGAGGGGGGGCTCGCACACCTGGTGCCGGCTCACCTGCGTCACCTGTGTCACCTGTGCTACCCCGACAATGTCACCCCGGCATTGTCACCTCACCCACACACAATCCCCCCGGCTGGTGGAGAGGGGCAGCTGGGAGGATGACAGGGGCCTCGTGCACCTGGCACACCTGGTACCGGCACACCTGTGTCACCTGTGTCACCCTGATGTTGTCACCCCGACACTGTGACCTCAAAACTATCACCTTGACACTGTCACCCCACACTCAAACATCCCCCCATGGATGGAGAAGGGGGATTCGCACGCCTGGCACACCTGGTACCGGCACACCTGTGTCACCTGTGCTACGCTGACATTGTCACCTCACCCACACACATCTCCCTGGCTGCTGGAGAGGGGCAGCTGCCAGCCTGGGGGGGAGAGGGGGGGCTTACACACCTGGCACACCTGGCACACCTGGTACTGGCTCACCTGGCTCTCCTGACACTGTCACCCTGACACTGTCACACCACACACAGTCCCATGGATGGACAGGGCAGCTGCACACCTGGCACAGCCTTACCCCACACCTGGCACACCTGGCACGCCCCACCTGCCTCTCCCTGCCACGCCCACCCCCACCGTCCCCAGCCCGCACACCTGGGCACACCTGGGTGTGCCTCACACGAGGAGCAGGCCAATTTTGGGTCATTTGGGGCGGGGGGGAGGGGCAGGGGCCCTGCCTGGGCGGGGCCGGGGCGTGCAAGGCTGGGGCGGCTCCTGTGCACACCTGGGCCTGCAGGGCGGACACACCTGTGCGCCTTCCTCATACACACCTGGCCCTGCTGCACACCCGGTGCACTCCCGGTGCACACCTGTCCTCATGGACACCTGGCGCACACCTGTCCTTGTGCACACCTGTCCTGTGCACACCTGGCACACACCCCAGCCTTGGTGTACACCTGTCCTGTGCACACCTGGTGCCATGGCTCAGACCTGGTGCACACCTGGCGCACACCTGGTGCATACCTAGTGCACATTCCAGCCGTGGCACACACCTGGCGCATGCCCCAGCTGTGGTGCACACCTAGTGCACACCTGTCCTCTGCACACCTGGTGCACACCCCAGCCATGGTGCACACCTGGTGCACACCTGTCCTGTGCACACCTGGCGCAGCCCCGGCCCCGGGCAGTGGCGGGGCAGGTGAGGGTTAGGGGGTTTAGCGGGTTTATGCGGCTTTAGGGGGGCTCTGGGCTCAGCGCGGTTTAGGGGGGCCGTTAGGTGCGTTAGCATCCCTTTAACCATGTAATGAGGGGGCGGGGCAGGGGCTGGCCCCTCCCCCAACACCTGGGGTCCCTCCCCGGACACCTGGGGGTCCCTGGACAACGGGGTCCTCAGGGACGTGGCTCCTGGACACCTGTGGGGCCCAGGTGCTGCAACCCCCAAATATCGGGGTCCCAAATGCCGGGACCCCCCAACACCTGGGACCCCAAACAGGTGGGTCCCGCACACCTGAGTCCCCACATTTTGGGGTGCCCAGGCGTGGCGGTGCCCAGGTGTCGGAGCCTCCAGGTGTCGGGGGTCCCAGACACTCCCCAAATCAGTGGCTTCCAGACACCTGGGACCCCAAAATCTCTGGGTCCCGGCCACAGTGGGTGTGCCCAGGTGTGGGGGGTGCCCAGGTGCGGGGGGTGCCCAGGTGTGGGGGGCGCTCGCTGCCGTTACCTTTGTCGAGCAGCCACTCATCGACCACCCGCCCCAGGCGGAAGGGGATGCGCTGCCGCGCCAGCGCCAGCCGCTCGCTGTCCCCGCTGCCTTCGGAGGGAGGAGAAGAGCGTTACGGGGACACGGGGCAGGGCACGGGGACACCGGCAGGGAGTGGCACTGGGGGGGGCATCGGCGGTGGCGGCACGGCGGTGTCACCGCGGCATCGGCGGGGCTGCGGTGGGACCGTGGTGTCGGTGGCATCACTGGTGTCACCATGATGGGACCGTGGTGTGGGTGGCATCACTGGTGTCACCATGATGGGACCGTGGTGTCAACGGCATAATTGGTGTCACCAAGATGGGAACGTGGTCTCAATGGCATTGTTGGTGTCACCATGATGGGAACGTAGTCCCAATGACATCATTGGTGTCACCATGATGGGAAAGTGGTCTCAATGGCATCATTGGTGTCACCAAAATGGGACCATGGTCCCAATGCCATCCTTGGTGTCAAGAAGATGGCAACATGGTCTCAGTGGCATCGTTGATGTCACCAAGATGGGACCATGGTCTCACTGTTAGTGGCATCACTGGTGTCACCATGATAGGACTGTTGTCTCAATGGCATCACTGGTGTCACCATGATGGGACTGTGGTCCCAATGATATCGTTGGTGTCACCAAGATGGGACCGTGGTCCCAATGGCATTGTTGGTGTCACCATGATGGGACCGTGGTCTCAGTGGCATCGTTGATGTCACCAAGATGGGAAAGGGGTCTCAATGGCATTGTTGGTGTCACCAAGATGGGACCATGATCTCATTGTTAGTAGAATCATTGGTGTCACCAAGATGAGACCGTGGTCCCAATGACATCATTGGTGTCACCAAGATGGGACCGCGGTCTCATTGTTAGTGGCATCATTGGTGTCACCACTGTGGGATCATAACCTTGCCGCTGGTGTCACCATCAATGTCACCATGATGTGACCATGACCTCATCAATGGTGGCGTCACCATCAGTTTCAACCATGATGGGATCATGGTGTCACCATGAATGTCACCATGGTGACACAATGGTGTCACTGCCAGTGCCATCAGGGTGTGAACCCATGGGTGTCACCATCAGCATCGCGTTGGCGTGGCCACAGTGTCACCATCAGTGTCACCACCAGCGTCACCCTCTGTCACCACCAGTGCCACCATGGTGGAACGGTGGCACAACCATCATGTCACCTTCAGTGCCACCACAGGTGTCACTGGTGGTGCCACCACGCTATGACCACGGTGTGACCACCAGCGTCCCCACAGCCATGACGCCCCTGCTGATGTCCCCTGGCCCTGGTGTCACCGGGGGGGGGTGGGGTTGGCCCTGGGGGGTTTATGTGGCCTTTAGGGGGGCGTTAGCAGGGGAGGGGTGGGGGGGGTGGCCGTGGGACCCCTCGTTAGCGCTGCCTCGTTAGTGCCCTCGTTAGGGGGGGCTCTGGGCTGTCCCCAAGCACCTGGAGTGACCCTGGGGTGTCCGAAGGTGCCATGGGGGGCTTGGGGGGCTCTGGGGGTGCCCTGGGGTCCCTGTAGGTGCCATAGGGGTGTCCCAGGATGTCCCTGAGCACCCTGAGGTGCCTTGGGGTGTCCCAGAGGTGTCCCTGTGGTGTCTCAAGGTGCCATAGAGGTGTCCCCAAGCACCTGGGGTGTCCCTGGAGTGTTTGGGGGAGCCCTGAGTGGTACCTGAGTGGTACCTGAGGGGTACCTGGGGGATACCTGTAGTGTGTGAAGAAGGCCTGGGGGGTACCTGGGAAACACCTGTGGGGTCTGTAGGAGCCCTGGGGGTACCTGGGGAACACCTGTAGGGTCTTTAAGAGACCTGGAGAACACCTGGAGAACATCTGTGGGGTCTGTAAGAGACCTGGGGGTACCTGGGGGGTCTGAAGGAGCCATGGAGGTACCTGGGGGGTACCTGGGGAACACCTGTAGGGTCTTTAAGAGACCTGGGGAACACCTGGGGAACACCTGTGGGGTCTGAAGGAGCCCTGGAGAACACCTGGGGGGTACCTGGGGAACACCTGCAGGGTCTGTAAGAGACCTGGGGAACACCTGGGCCATACCTGGGGGTGTCTCTGGGGGCCCTGGGGTGCCCGGGGCGCGGCGGGGGGTACCTGGCGGGTAGCGCTCGTGCAGGGGGCCGCCGTCCACCTGGAGCGTGGCGTTGCCGCCGCTGCGCGTGAAGCGGACGACGTGGAAGCGCCCATCGCTGACGGCCGCCCCCCGCTCCTCCAGCGCGATGTCCTCGGTGCCCACGTTGAACAGGACCCCCACAGCCCCCTGCACCTGCAGGGTGGGCACGGGGGGCACCGGTGGGTGCCTGTCCCGTGGATCCCCCTCCTTCCCCCAAGCCCCACCCTGAACCCCAATTTTGGCCTTTCTTACGAGGCAGGAAAATCGCCAAATCTGGATTTTAACAGGAATCCGCAGAGCCCTCCCCGTACCCCCAAACCCCCCCAGACCCCAATTTTTTTCCCCCTCCTGCAGAGTTTCAGGATGTCACCAAATCCAGCCTTTAGCAGGAAGCTCTGGAGCCCCCCAGGACCCCCATTAAACCCCCTGCACCCCAGTTTTGTCCCCTCTTATGCTGTGGAGAGGCTGGAATTCACCAAACCCGGCCTTGACCAGGAGTCTCCAGAGCCCCCAGACCCCCCCCAGGAC